CCCGGCGAGCCTAAAGTTTCGGCTCGGGCTCGGCCCGGTTAAAAGTGACCGAGCTTTTTTGCGGGCTCGAGCCGAGCCGAGCAAAAGCTCGACCAAAAAAAATAGGCTCGGCCCGAGCTTTTGCTCGGACTTTTTACGGGCCGAGCCGGGCAGGCTCGTTTTCTCCCCCCTTTTTTTTTTTCCTTCAGCTGCCTTGAAGGCAGCGACTACTGCCTTTCAAAGGCAGCAGTTCCCTGCCTTAAAAGGCAGCAGTTTTGCCTTTAATATTTTTTTTTATTATTTTTTTTAAAGATCGCGAGCTCACGGGCCGACTCGGGCAAAGCCTGTGTCCCCAAAATGGGGCTCGGCCCGAGCTTAGGCTCGGGTCTACCGAGCCCCGAGCCGAGCCGACTCGGGCTTTTCCCGAGCCGAGCCACGGGCGGTCCGAGCCGGCGAGCCCGATTGCCATCCCTAATTGTGACTACTTTTCTATAATATTTCAAAAAGATTGAAAGTACAATAATGACACGATCCAACTTGAGTGATATTTATGGATCAGAAACGTGAATGTGTCGAAGATGGATAACAACAAGAAGTCTATTTGACCCACCATCAATTATACTACAATATGTACATTTCTATAACATTTTTTAAAAAATAAAAATAAATTTTGATGTGATCTCCCCTGTAGTTTGGACAAATCAACAAACACAACTTTTCTCAACACAATAAGCACAACACATTGGAATCATTTTCCCCTTCAATATCCACTACAAAACAAATAATGCAACAAAGACAAGTCAACTTTATAAACTGTAATGTGGATAATGAGCCCACCTAGCTATCTATAAGCGATGCAAACGTGATAGAGATGGCAATGGTTCGGTTTCGATTCGGTTCGGCCAAAACCATCACCGAACCGTTAAATTTTTTGCCGCACCATAACCACGTAAATCAGTTCGATTCGGTTCGGTTCGTATCTCGATTCAGCTCGGTTCGATTCGATTAATAACCACGAAAATAAATTATTTTTTATAAGTCCATCCGTCAAATTGATATAAAACAATTAATAAAAGGAGAGTCAGTGAAAACAAAAACACAATATTCCAAACAAAAATGCAAACATTATCCAAATTCCAATTATAAAATACAAATTTAACAAACAATATTATGAATATAACAATACTAAACTTTTCCTTCATTCTTGATTCTTGTGCATTGTATAATTCAAAATTTTCAATCTTAACTCATATTCAATTTCCATTTTTTCCCACAACTCTTACTAGCATAGGTCAGCACTCAAAATTGATTCCTATATAGTAAATAAGAAATGTAAGTAGAGAATACAATGATACTACCTAATCCAGAATGATTTTAACTAAGATTTAAATAAAAAAATGTATCTCTTTGTCAATTTCCTCCTCAGTAAACCTCGTCATCCCTAATAAAAGAATTGTTTTTTTAAGCGTGTAATCGGTTCGATTTCAGTTCAACAATATAAATAATATAACCGTACCGCCACGAACCAGTTCATTAAAATCAAATACCATATCCGTCCTATTGTACTATTGGTTCGATTTTTTCGTTCCATTCGGTTCGGTTAACCATGTTTTTCGATTTTAACAGTTCAAATTGCCATCCCTAAAGCGTGATACACAAAAATAAACACGTTTCTCAAAAATAATGACTACATGTTTTATGAAATGAGTCATACTACAAGTTCGGTCATGTGATTCAGTCTCCAAAATCAAGAGCTCAACTTCATAAGTTGTCCAAAATCTCAACTGCTATCTGATAAGAAAAATCGTGGAAAAATATATGAGTTGATAGATTAGTGAACAGAGAATTTTGAAAATAGTTATACTTTTTCATTTATATATATTTAACGAAAATTAAGTAACAATTCATGGTTTAACATCAAATAATCATAGTAAATATGCTAGACATTCTCATAATGCAATTTAACATTGTTCGAAAATATGATCCAAACATTTGTATCAATTACTTTCAAGTGAACATATCATCTCATTTTCAATGTATAATCTTCTAATCTATGCTATAATCTCTTCTCATCACAGTATAATACGAAGTCTCACAAAAATATACCCTCTGAATAAAATCATTAATATGATCAGACACATGTAGACTACTCGACGCTAAGCACTCTCGACATGGGTATAAGGTCCCCTAAGTGGACGAAAGTGGATTTTGAAAACCTCTAATAATCAATTCTAGTACACAGTCAAAATCCCGTAGTGAAATATATTTACATGATCAAGATCTCTAAGTGCACTATTGTAGATGGCCAAGACAGAACAGTGCACTATAGAACACGGTTAAGATTTCTCAGTGCACCAAGAAATATAATGAGTGTATTCTTTTGATCGATTTCAATATCATACATGTCACACTTTCCATTTCACAAGTAACCAATATACAATTTTTGTAATTTCACAAATATAATAGTGTGATAACATTTCATAATACTCAGGCATTGGATAATAATTCACAAAATTACATATCAACCCTTCACTCCCGTTCCTCTCTTTCTCTCTGCATAACGTTTGAAATGGATTTATATGGAAAGAATTTGATTTTATATAAATAGGTCAATCCATCGTGACTTATTTTTCAATTTTTGTTTTACTAATTTTTTCGGCATGATATCATTAACCAGCATTTTTAGGTTTTGACCAGTGTACTAGAAGTAATCTCGCAGTTATCTCAAGTGAAATACCGATATCACTACTTGTAACCACAAAAATGATTCTCACAGAGAGATCTATTGTAGGTAAAGTTGGGCGTTCGTAATTTTTATTTAGCAGAGTTGACTACAAAAGCTCATTCTCGAAAATTCCTTGTGAAGAAGTTTTTGAATCCAATTACGTAGACCACGCCCACAATCTTTGAAGATAATAAACTTTTCCATGATTAACTAGTACGCTTTTTAACTGTAATTTCTTCTTGTTAATACTTCAGAAATATTGCCCTTGGTACGAACTCAATATTTACTTTCGGAATGACGATTACTCGAATGTTTAGACATGACATCATATGAGTCTCACAATATTCACTAAGGATATACATGGTCGGTACCATGACAAGAACAGGTCATGCCAATAACTTACCTGGCAGGCCGGTTCAATTTTTACACCTCTAAAAACAAGTCAAAATTTTATTCTGCTACAATTAATTTTTCAATAATTTAAAGATCTTGAATTTTCTGAAAAAAATTACATATATGGTACTTTTATTTCAGATTTTCTTTTTAGAAAAAATGATTCCAAATTTTATTTTAAAGAAAGAAACATGTGTGCTAAACGTGCTTTGTCAATTCTTGTGTGTATAGTTTCTAATATTACAATACATCATTTGGAGAGATGTTTGTTGACATCAAAAAAATGAACCAACAGAATTCTGACATCGTCCTCTCTACGTAGATATCACATGTTCACTGAACACCCCATTAGAAAGCAAAGGTTGTTGGTCGAGAAAAATGCCCGACAACCATTTGCACTACGATTGTCAAGTCAACGGTTGGACTAGAGAAAAAGAGAGTGCAAGAGAGGGAGAGAGGATTTGGTTATGGTTAGAAAACATACCTTATGTGAAATGGAATCATATAGATAAATAGAGAGATAGATCGGTCATGTGGGCTAATGGGCCGAGTTCCTAGCCCAATATGATGTTATTTAATTTAATAGGTCCAATCAATTAAATAGTTGACGTCACGTTGGCATATATGGGACTTTCTCCGTCATGTGTATACCATGTAATATATAGGTGTAACAATAGTCTTCCAAGTTTGAATCGTACATTTATGTGCGGATCGGACTTTGAAATATAAGTTGTCAAATAGGCGATGTTTTACAGATTGCCTTGAAAATATGAGTAGCTCCAATAAACAAGGACTTACGAACTACCTCGAAGATATGCATCGAATTCAAATAGATGAGAACTTGCGTATTGCCTCGAGAATATTAGCCGTTCCAATAAGTGAGAACTTACTAACTGCCTTAGAAAATATCAGTGAGAGCCTGAATAAGCGAGGACTTACAAATTGCCTCAAAAGATGTCCAATATAATTTATCAAAATTTTGACAGCATCTCCTCTGTAATATAAACTTAACCAGCATGTAATACAATACAATTTATTCACTGCACATATACAAAATAAATTTGGGATCTATTTGATCCTTCAAGCACTGATAACTATAAAGTGAATAACGATATATCACATTTCTCCAAGATATAATATGCAGAAAAACTATCGTGTATCATAGCAGGTCATATGCTTGACGATACTGTAGATAATGTGATATGCATAATAGCACTAGTAAAAATAGTATTATAACATACTAGTAATGATGCGGCATGTGTACTTAGTAGCAATAATATAATGAATATACTGGTAGTAATAATTTAATGATACGAAGAGTTCCAAGTCCAATATGAAGTTATTTAATTTCATAGGTCCAATCAATTGAACAGATATATATGGGATGTCAACCCTCTCTGTCATGCGTATGTCACGTAATATATATGTGTAACAATGTTAATGCAATATAGTGGTCCAATTTCGTACGTTAATTTACTACTACAATCTCTCTATAATATTAAAATAGTATTTCGAAATGACATTTAAAAATATTGATTAATTGATGATAAAAATTCTTTTCAAATTATCCTTCCCTTAGAAATATCGATTAATTTCTGACAAAAATATTTTCAAATGTTTCTTCCCATATTAATAATATTTGGGATATAAACTCATCCACCCAATTAAAGTATGTAAATAAATCGATATTTATCAACTATAATTATGGTAATAAACACGTATCCCACTTGTATATGGAAATTAAATCTCATAGTTTCATTGGGATAATTTTGTAATCACAAAGCAGTTCCGTCCTTGTTTTCTATATATATAGCCCGTTTTATATTGAACCCACGAAACCCACAAAGAAATCTGTTTTCAGTTTTTATTTTCAAGAAACCATGGCCAAGTTTCTCCTCAACAACCTTTTGCTTCTCAGGTTAGCTACTTTTTTATTTTTTTCAGGCAATTCAATGCCATTTTTTTTTCCTGTTTATGTTATTCTTCACGAACATATGTGTCCATCAAAAGACAATATGGTTCTTTCCATGAGGTTCTCGAAAAGTATTTACATAATCTAACTGGTCGCACAATATTAGATTAAGAATAACGTTTAATTTTCTGTTGGTATTTTTCCCTCTTACTTATGTTATGTCCATGTAACAGGAGATTATCAACAATTGCAGCAGCAGCGAGTACTAAAACACATACCACAACTTCGTCCGTGATTAAGAAAGTGGTTGAATCTGTAAGAAAAGAAGTATTCTGGATGAGAGATCCAAAAACTGGAATCTGGAAGCCGGGGACTCACTTCGAGGACATTGATGCTGCAGAACTCCGAGAGAAAATTCTTTTCAAGAAGACCAAATTCTAAAAACCAATTAAGACCGAGAAAAACTTCTTCCAGAGAGAAACTTCTTTACTAGAAGATCAAATTCTGAAGATTTTCAATATCGGGCCCCCATTGGGCCGGGTGGAATTCCTATAAAACTAATATTCGATAGGAATTTTTTTTTTCTTTTCTAGTTTTTTGCATCTACTTTAGTTTTATGGCCTGTAATAGTACTTAAAGTACAGTACTTTTGTTGCATGAACTCCATTCCACGTAAGGATGTCAATTTAGCTCGTCGATTCGAATCATTCATAACTCAGCCCAGCTCGAGGCTCGTTAGAACCAAGTCCTAGGCAGCCCGTGTTACTCGCTGCTCAAGCTCATGGGAATTTAAAAAAAGGAAAAAAATAATTTAACAGGCAGCGTGTTGCTGCCTTTTTTAAACAACCAGTCGTTGCCTTTTAAGGCAACAGTTATTTGAAAAAAAAAAAAAGCCCTGTTAGGCTCGGCTCCAAAAAGAAAAGCTCGGATCAAACTTAGATTTTTTGATTGAGCAAAAGCTTGACTTGGCTTGGGCTGAAATAAAAAGTTCGTACCATTTTACTCGGGTCAAGCTTGAACATGGAGTTTCGGCTCATGAGCTGGCTCGATTAGACTCATTAATATCCCTACTCCCATGTGGTCTAGACTTTGATTTGAATAGAATTCACTATTGTACAAAGTTGATGAAGAATAATAAAACCAGCAACGAAATTTCATCAAAATGGAATGTTTAAACACATTCATGAATTGTTCTCCTCAAACGATATTTACTGCCACATGGATAAGTGCTTAAAGCATTCAAAGGTAAGTACTTTGTAGGAGTAAACAAATCGTAATTCAAGTTTGAATCAAGCAAAACAAACTTGAAAAATGAGCTTGAAGGACAAATATGAGAAAACTTAGTTTGATCTTTGATTTGGATAAAATTGAATTTATTTGATGTTTTTGATATGTTTTCCAAAATGAAAATCATCCCTATGTATGGTACTTCAATCATCATGCGTGAAAACATGCAAAAAATAAAACAACCAAAAAGATGTAAAGCTAACCAAAACCACACCAGATTCAAACTCACAACGATCAAAATTTTGTATGATCGCACACATCACCCAAAGTGGCTCGAGTTTAAAAAAGCAAGATTGGGCAATTGCCCAACCTATATATATATATATATTGGTTGGTCAAGTTCCGTGCTTTTCCAAATAATATATGCTTGAAGACGTTAGATTAAGAATCACTACTAAAAAATAGCTTTTCACTTACAAAAAATTACAAACGGATTGCATCCGTTGGTGATTAGAAACAGATTATCCGTTGGTAAAAGTAATTCACCTTTAACTACGATAATTAGCAACGAATTTTTCGTTGGTAAAAATAATATCTCTTTACCAACTGATATTCTGTGTCTAATGTAATCGTTTAACATTTGGATCTTCCTCCAACGGATATTCCGTAAGTGATGTACCGAATATTACCAACGGATGCGTTGGTAATTAGAAACGGATTATCCGTTGGTAAAAGTAATTTACTTTTAGCTACAGTAATCAGTAACGGATTTTTCGTTGGTAAAGACGATATCTCTTTACCAACGAATATTCGATGCCTAATATAACTGTTTAATATTTTGATCTTTTACCCATGGATATTCCACTGGTAATTAGAAACGGATTATCCGTTAGTAAAAATGATATCTTTTTACCAACGTATATTCCGTGCCTAATATAACCGTTTAATATTTTGATTTTTCAACAATGGATATTCCGTTGGTAATTAGAAACGGATTATCCATTGGTAAAAATAATTCACTTATCCCACATCGAAAGTTTACAACAATATCTTTGTAGTTGCCCTCTATAAATTTGTGGTCTAATAAGGAGTTAAACAATATTTTGGCCTTTCAATTTAGTTGGCTAAAAATTTTAAAAAAATTATAATTATTAAATAAATAATTTTTTTTTTTTTACCATACGGTTATTTACAACATTGATTTTTACCCGTTGTAATGGTAGACATTTACCAATGGAAAGTCGGTTGGTATTGATTAAGACTTTTATCAACGAAAATTCCGTTGGTAAAATGTTTATTCTTTACCTACGGTATGATCCATTGATAACTATCAACGACCCTCAAATTACCAACAGATTTGTGGTTGCAAATATTCCGTTGGTGAAGATTATTAGCAACGGATATTGAGGCTTTAGGAACGAAAAATCCGTATCTGAAACTCTGTTTTTTAGTAGTGAATTTTCACATCTTCAACCTAAGTTAAGAGTGTAAATTGATTCAAGTATATGTAGAGGCCTTCTCAACATGGAAATTTTTCGTGGGCCATCTTGGATAGCCAAGTCATATGCCATGTCAGGTGATTGTTCACAAAAATATATTTCGAATTAAAACCACCGCAAATGTATGATTCATTAACAGGTAATAAAGTTGATCTAAGTCCAAGTATCGTCCCACGGATATTGATCTAGTCTTGATCAACAAATAATAAAGCGATGCATTTGTTTATGAAGAAATTATAACCAAAATAATCTACTTATGCAATTGTGAGTAAATTAACCAAATTAAATGTAAATTGTGTTGAATGCAAGTTAATGTGTTCTAATGTAAGACCAATGCACTAGAATCGCGAATTTCTACGCAATAATTCTTTTTAATCTTAATTCTACACTTTGCCAACAAGGTTGGATTTTGACGAATCAATGTTCCTATTTTATTCAAAAAACTCTCTCAAGTAATGTCGAACCTATTCTCGTATATGATCCGACTATATTTCGACGATGGATGCGAATATACAAGAATGTATGAATTTTTATGAACACTTAAATATTCACATAAGGCATAACAGTATACTTCTATCCTCTATCGGATCTTAAGACAATTTATGCAATGTCGAGCCTATTTCTCTTCTTTTCAATGCATAAAATAAGCCACCAAATTTCATAAAATTATCATGCACAATAATTGTGGAGAAAAAAATTCATATAAATCATTCAAAATTCAAAAATGTGTTTTCAATGTCAAATCTATAAAACAAAAAATTAAAAACTAATATTACAAGGTTCATGTTCTCCTAGTACAAAGAAATCTAGCCTAACATGTTGTGAAGAAGAAAAAAAGATATAAATTTTGTTCATCACCCGAAAAATCTGGAGTTCAATCTTAGTGTTCTTGAATCTTGATGTGTTCTTTGTCTCCTTTTTCAATTGATTCCCCACGCCCTAATTATGTTTGAGCGTTGATATTTAGAATACCTCTAAAGAATTCGAAAAAGATCCCTAAAAATCATGCATATTATAGGCCAAACGGAAGTTTCCATGATGGAATTGAATTCTAAAGAGAACATAATTTTGGGCCGAATTGATCTATAGAAAATGGGGAGGCTGCCCAAGCATATAAAATAGTTCCTGTAATTAAGGTTAAAAGTCGGGAGGCAGCCCGGCCTATATAATTGGGCTGCTGTCTAGTTATAAAACTTCCAAAATTTTTCTTTTCATCATTTTCATCATTATTTCTTCCATTTCTGTTCTCCATGTTAAATTACTTCGATTTTGGTCCTTTAACTTTTATTCAAATGCATATTAGTCAAATTTCCAACCATTGGCCTATTTATCCTTCTTTCTTTTCCAATTGCTTAGATATGGATCTAAAACTGAAACAAGATCAAACTAACCCAAGTTAAAGTAAAATTCAATACTAAAACGACACAAAAGCTTAGTAATATGGTCTGAATAAGTGCAAAAAAATGCACTTATCAAACACCCTCAAGCTAAAACCTTTGTTCGTTCTCGAACCAAAAACTTAGGAATAAACCATATCACTAACCTAAGCAAATCACCAATAACAAATTCAACATTGAAATTGCTTACCATATATTTCAGGTTCGAATTTAAGCAATGCTTTATAAAGATCCAAGTAACATCAGAAATAAATTCTTACTTTAGTGCATGTATGATTAGCCGATATTGAATTCGCTCCCATACTAAAACACAACCAATCAAGTGTTGTTGATTCACTCATAAATCCAATCTTTTTATAGTCAATTTTTCCTCGCATCTCTCATGCAAAATCATTCCTTATGCTATTCTCTCAAATCCCGAGATATTTCTACCACATGTAGGAGCTTAATAATCGAAAGAATCCTTTTTCCACACAAAGTTATCAGAATTAGATACTTAGAAATCTAGAAAGGAAATGGTAAGTCTTTTCTCAAAGTTATACTATCAATCTCTAGAGTTTAAATATCAAAGTCTTTATCAAGCACACTCCCTTTTGATAATCTAAATCTCTTTTTGTTTCTTTTTCCTTTTTTTGACATCTGCCATGCAAAGCTTCTCCTCATTAACCTTTCTAAATGATCCTTGTAACGAGCTTTACAAGCTTAATAACTCGAGTAAAAAAAGTTACGAAGAGAGTTAGAAGATGTGTCACCTTTTCTTTTGATATGACAATCTAATTTTCATTCTTTTGAAATCTTATGTGCAAAACTTCTTTCCATTAAACCTTCTAAATGATTCCTGTAGCGAGCTTTAAGCCGATAATTTCCAAGTCAAATGACTATAGGGTACCAAGTTTTAAATACCCTAGTAGGCTTAATCACTCGAATCATAAAGGCTATGAAAAGAAGTATAAGATGTATCACATTTATTTTGATATGATACTTGAATTTTAGAAACTGGTCAGTGCCAGTTCTGGACTCCTTAACTCAAACTCCTTCAACGAACAATGAGATCCAAGAACTTCAAACTATTAAATTTCTATGAAAACAAGTTCTAAATTTCCCACCCTCAAACCACTTTTTAGTAGCTTGGCTTCTATTCTAAGAATTTAAGAATTCTCTCAACTATTGGTCAACAACATCAACGGTTAAATCCACATAATCAAGTCATGCCCCATCACAAGTGATAAGTCAATATGACTATGTGCTCATATAATTAAGTTTAACATGGATAAATACTTAAATAAAAGCAAATGTTATGGCGTTGTCCAATAATCCAGCTAAATCCATGCTCAATTCAGACAAATATCATCATAGGCAGCAAGTCATTCAACTTTATGAAAACAAATTTGAAAAACTTATCTTTTCCTAGTTAGGATTTTTGCAGGGAAATATGCTCCGATAGATAGTTTTTCTAAAAATTAGAAGATTGAAATCTAGGGGCAACCTTAAGAATGCATATCACATCAATGTAAGCTTAATGTAATGCTAGGATGTTAACGACAAGTCTAAGTAAATTGAACTCAATTT